ATTGTTATATATTATATATATATATTATATATATATATATATATATATATATTATATTATATATACATATACTATAATATACATTACATATATATTATATATATATATATATATATATATATATATATATATATATATATATATATATATATATATATGTGTAATTACACAAATAAAAAATCTGAAATGAGAACACACCATTACAAAGTAGTATTTATATTACATGATCATTAGTGTGAAGTACTTTATATAACAAAGAAAGCACACATACATTATGTGGCTCTATGATGTATTATCAAGCATGGGGCAGGTACTAAATGTATTAGAAAGGGTAATGGGGGCACTGAAGGAGGAAGGAGAATATTGCAACCCCTGAATATGGGAAGTTCTGGACTAACAGTCTACTTGGTGGCTAAGCACTTGTGGAGCCATCTATGTGTAGAGACAACACAGAACATGTGATGCTATGTGATAAAGGTAAAACTAAAAGTACAGATTGAAGAAATTTGAATGGTGGTTGATGGTTTGTGTTCTCTCTTTCTTACAGTTCAAAATAAATAGAGAAAAAGATACCTTTACTTGGGCTCCTCTGTGATGTTTTCAATGTATCACATCAGCAGTTGGCACTCAAGACTGTCTGACTTGCAATCTTTTTTTCTATTCTCTTAGAAGAATCTAAGCAGGAATGGTGTGCTGCATTCATTCCTACTCCAACATCCACTTTCACAGGAATTGTACACTGAGTTGTTGCTTCTCCAGGAAATGGTAAGGCACAAAAGAATATGGGAATATTGCAAAGTGATTGTAAGAACATTGCAACAGATATGAAGGGTCTGTCTGGCATGCAATGGAACAAGCATTTGAATTTATGTACAGAACTTCTTCTTCACTCTCTCTATTGTCCACAAGGACAATGCATTCCCTGTTTCCCCCTCTTGATCTCAAGAAGTTGAAAATTTGCCAAGTCCACTCTCATCGGACATTCTTGGAGATGCCTGATCATCTGCTCAGGATATGGCACTCACATCCTTGGACTTTACCTGCAAAGAAGACACCAGTGTAAAGATAATTTACAAGACCAACAGAGCATTCTCAACCACATTTGCAATGAAAAGCTGAAAAAGTATACTATCCTTTTATGTTGCATACATATATGAAAAAAAATAGTATTTACAAACAGTAACAACAACAACAACAGCAAATCTTGCTGATGGGCTGATTTAGTTATTCATTTGCATAGCAAATGTACAGCCATTGTAAAGTGGCCTTGTGTCAATACTGCTTTCAAGGGACATACTGGAGTGTTGTACATTTGAAAGCAACCACAATGTACATAAGTAATTATTTTACTTGTTAAGAAAAATACAAAAAAGAAATTTCAAAAACCTCTATCAACTAATGGATAAAAATCATAATGTCTATAGTAACCAATAAATATTTGTTTGCTAATTAGAGAAATAGTTGACTAGGAAGTGTCTAGAAAACAACTACAAAGATCAATCTGTGGTATATGTTTTATTTAAAATAAAACTTACTTATGCCAATGTATCTAAGATGGTATCTTTCCTGTCGTTTGTTCTGGCAAGGCAAGGATACCTTGCTGCCGTTTAAGTTCCTCGGCCTTTTTTAAAGGTATTCTTACAATAGTTGGATGCATACTCAACCCATGCTGCTGAGCATGGCATGCGCTCATTGTGGGTTTTGATATAGTAATTGCTTTATATGGCTCCACAAGTACTGTCACAAATGAACCAATTACAAGTACTACCTGTCTCACTTATTTACCCTTTTCCTTGTTTTTCAAAAATATTTTCTGGCACCTAATGTTGCTGTTATTAATGTCAATAACATTATAGTAATCATGATGTCTGTAATAAAAATAATAAATGAATAATATAATTTTTTTTTCACACAAATACAAGTAAAGGGAAAATCTGATGAGGTCGCACGGTCTACAAATTGACGCCATAATGGTTAAGCACTGGCAGAGTTACTTACTTGCTGAGACATTTCACAAAACAATACTACTGAACACAACATATTTCTGGCGGCATTGGGTTAATGCTCGATGATTCAGGTGAGAGTGTTAACAATTGGATCTTGTGCCTGCAATCAGAATGAGGCAATTTCTCCCATATTTCCATGGTTAACATATCAAGGGCAATGGCCTCTTTTATTATAATCCTGGGGTAAATACTCGGGTTCTTCATGTGTTGTAATTCACTGCCTTCAGCACCAAAAGTACTGGTAAAAGTTGCTTTCATTATCCAAACAGTTCTATTTGTTTTCTTACCTGCACAAGAAATACATTTATGCTTTGGCATGCTATGCATTTTAATGGAGAACCACCTAGAGCCTTTGAACTTTGAATAAGAGTGGCCCTATTTTTCTCTTTTGACAATTATTGAATTGGCTTTGAAAGGTAGTACTATACTTGGCATCAAGATGAAAACAAACTGTTTTTACTTCATGTAAATCTTTCAAATCTGCTCACCACAACAAGCTCCTATCTTCTTCCTCTAAGTCAGATAAAATTCAATGTCAGCCTTTCAAGTAAAATGAGTTTTTTGACAGTCTCTTCCAAATAAATGCCAAAATTACACATCCATTTCTTTCTAGCACTAAGGGGAGACTGATCACAATTTCTTTGAGCAACTGAAAGAACTGGAGACTTTCAATCCCTCTATACATATTCAAGCCAGAGATATTGCCAGAGAAAAAGCTTTATTATCAATTGAAAAGAGGTGGCAAGATTTCAGTTAAGCAGGGACCTGTCAATGAATTTGTGGAAGCTACTAGCAATGGTATATATATACTTTTTTTCCTTTAAGTGTTTTACTGTTGTCAGTTTGGTTTCAGTTTACATTTTTTCAGCTTTAGACTGTCAATTAGAAGAGCTGCAAAGAAGTACAATATTCCTAAAACAGGCACAAACTCTCAGGGTATCATGGAATCAGCTCAAAACCTGGAACAAAACTCTTCTATCTGATGCAGAAGTTACTAGCTATGTTACTAGCTCAGTTAAGTTGGCACATCCAGTTACACAAGCATTTTTAGAATGATCAAATAATGGTTTCATTCTACTTTTGACCGTTTTAAGGAAATTGATGTCATCAATACTCTGGAGGATCCCATTTGAAATTTCAACACTGATGAAACTGGATTTTGTCTCTTACCATCAATAGGAAAAGTACCAGCACTCTGGGAAGAAAACAGTGTCTTTAAGGATTGCTCTCTTCATTACAAGACCAACATAACAGTTCTGGGTTGCATTTGTGCAGATGGTTCTAATCCACTACCCACGATCATCTATCCCAGCAAGAAGGTCAATTCTATGGCGACCATGAAATTTCCCTCTGGCTACAGCTGTAAGAAAATGTGAGAAAAGATATATTAAATATGAAATTCTTAACAAATATCTCAGCAATGCTTTCAATGACTCTCCAAACTAGCGAAGGAAATTGAAAAAAAAAGTGTTAATAGTAGTAATAATAACAGTAAAAAAAGTGGGAAAATCATAAACCTGAACCAAACTTTGGAATAAAAAGTTCAAAAAGTGAAAAGTTTTAAAACCCAAGCTAAAATTCAGATTAAAATTGTTGAAAAGTGTACATATGATAAACATGCAAAATTTTTGTTCACCTGCTGCTGCAAGACATGAGATGCCTGCCTTAACCCACTGGAGTGAATTATGTGTATTTGTCATTTGGGAAGGTATAGGAACAACATTCAAGGAAAACAGAGATAGCTGTCAGAAAAGTAGGAGAAGTATCCAAGGAGGGTGGGGGGGGTTAGATGTCAAAGATAATAGGGTGTTATAGAAAAGTATGGTAATGGAAAGGGAAAAGAGGGAAATAAATGAAGTAGAGCAGCGATTCCGGAGAGGGTATGGAAGTAGAGCGATTGAGTGAATTGCATTGTATCTGTGACTGGGGAAGAAACAAGGACATTGTTCAAGGAAAATAAAGGTGGTTGTTGGAAAAGTAGGAGATGAATCCAGGGGATGTGAAAGGGGGACTGGGGAAGGTGGTGAAGTATATGGAAGAATGTCTGGAGGGGAAAAGCCTGGATGACACCGTTGTGATAGAGGGGATTCATGTGAGTATTCAAGAGGGAGAGGGAGAGGGTTGGGTATATTGGGTGGGTGTAGGAGGAAGAGTTGTGGAGGAACTTGGGGGAGGAGGAGGATGGATACCTGCAAATACTTTAAATGTAGAAGTAGGAACAGAGGGATTGGGAGGTGGGTGAGCGAGTGGAGTGTTAAGTTAGGTGAAGAGGACAAAGGTTTTCTTATGAGGAGGAGAAGAGGAGGAAGGTGTAGGAGAGGGTGGAGTGGAACATTTAGGTTGCCTGGTGCAACAAATAAAATGAGAAGGGGTAGGTATCAGGCAAGTGGTAGTGAATGCACTACCTGGATTTAGACTGAGAAACGAATTTGACTGGAGTGAGGCCTTGTTTGAATCTGAGAACTGCTACCTCACATTGGAGTATATAGGCAGGGCAGCTCCTATAAAATACATTATGGGAGTCTCCACAATCGGCACATGTATGTGACTAAGTAGGGCAATTTGAACGGTCATAACGAGGTTGGGCACATAGAAGGCAGCAGGCTGTGGATCAACAGTGTTTGGTCTACATTTCTGACACTGACGAGGAAGGAGTTGACATGGTCAGACATAGTAGGACAATCCACCAATATACAAACTTCATCAGGGAGGTCATGTCTATGGAAGCTAATCTTGCCAATATTGACATGGGACTTAAGCTGGCCTCTGGAGGAATAGTGTAATACGGTACTGCCACTGCATCATAATCAGCACGGCAGGTAAGTACGTCATTTTCACAGTCTGACCAGTCCTTGTTGTAGATAGGACAAGCATTTGGGGGGATAGAAACAGTTCCAGTACAAGCATTAAGAGAGGGGTGAGGTTCGGAAGGAATGGTCAGTTAGTAAGAGAGGCCAGTGAGGTCAGTTAGGGAAAATATTGCACAAGCTTGGGATTCAGATGTAATTGTGACAAAACCTGAACGATCAGAGCAACTGCAAAAGGTAACCTTGCCTACTTGTTTTTTGAGACACTGTTGAAAGAGAAAGGTATTCTCAGAATATATAGGCAGGGGGTTTCACAAAGTACCAATCCACTTGGCTGGGCCAAATAGAGTACTCAAAAGGTTTGCAGAGGTAGAGGCAGTAGAAGGACAAGAGCAAGAGGAAGATGGGATGGTGTGGAGGGGAATAGTTCTGTGGGAGGAAGGACAACATGGATGAAGAGTAGTAATAATGGAAGAGGGGGTACACAATGAAGAGGATCGTACAGTAGGCGATGGAGAGGAGAATGTTGGGAGAGAGGAAGGAGTGCTTTCTGGAGGTTGAATAATAACCTGGGTGGGTGTTATGGAATGAATAGAATTGTCAGTAAGTGTCACGGAGGGGCTATTAATTTCAGTGGTTAGAGCTGTGGTCAAAGGAGGGCAGGGTCAGAAAACCATCAAAATCAATCAAAATCAAGATGATGAAGGGGCAAGCTTTAATGCCCCTATTAAGGGTAAAGAATCTTCATTACTGGCCATGGTGAACCTGAATAAAATGGGGAAAAGAAAGAGTCTACCCCTCAGGGTTCCCATAAGGGGTAAGGGCTAGGCAATCTACCAAGGGATTACTGTGCCCATGGTTCCCTCAGGCCGTTCATGACAGACACAAAGCCAGCCTTTCATCCTTTCAGCATGGCTCTCACATCTTATGAATGGGATAGAAGAAGGGGATGAAGAAGATACAGAAAAGGAAAAAAGAGAAGAAAAGACTAAGCAAAATTAGTTGAGGTGAGGTCTGAGGCCCAAAGAAGGGGTTGGACCTCAGTCTCCGTCTCCTATGCCCTTCCACAACAACAAGCAAGGTACTGGGAGGGTCACATGGCCCAAAAGACAGGCATTAGACTTATATGAGCTGCTCTGACAGGTGTGCTGCATGTAGGCCAGATGCACACAAAAAACTCATGTTCAGTGACATGACTCTATGCCTTCCCTTTACAATATCTTTCTCTTTTTATGTATATTTTTAGCTTTTTTGTTTTTTCCAACATCCATATTTGTTCTATCTACTTTATCCAGATGATAATAGACTGTTTTCTTGGCCAGACTCCATATAATCTCTCTAAGTAGTCAGTGAATAACTCTGTGCAAGTATAACAACAATAACTAACATTTTGTTATCTGTATTTTTATTTTTTGTAATGTTAAATTTTCTGTGCACAACCTGCACTGCCAGTCATGGACGCCAGGAGTATGATGCTGAGCATCGAAATGGCATCCTCCCTAGAGCTGGCACTCTTCTGGTCATGCCTCACAGACAGTATATTCCACACTTGTTTATCAATGGAAATAATGCAAAAGCCCCTTTCTAAATGCCAAATGAGGCTAATCACCTTTAAGAGGTTTGTGCACTTGTGGCGAGTCTTTCCCATCACCCATCAGCTGAAATGCTCACGATGAACATGCCACCATGTTCATGTCACCTGGCCCTTAAACCAAATTTTTTCAAGATGTGATGGTCATGTCATCCAAATCATAGGGCTAAAATTCCAAAGTAGTGTCATACAAATTAAGCAAACCTTTCTACCTCTCCAGCCTGGGAAAAAGAAACAGTTTTCCCATAAGAAATTTCCCTACCAGAGGCAAGCCCCCAGACTCCCTTGCTCCAAGGTTTGTTAATTTATTGAGCAAGTCCCTTCCCTTTTTGTATTTCTGGGATCAACTCAATACTTAATTAATATTGCAGGTTTTCTTGTCTACAAACACCCTACGGGGATAAAGGAAACTGTAAAACAATGGGGTAAAATATGAAGGGAAACATATACTAGGCTAAGCAGGCAAGGGATAAAGGAAACTGCAAAACTGTGGGGTAATGTACTAAACATTTTCATATTTCCCTCAGAAAGCCCATTATACTTCAAATACCAGTTGTTTGTGTCAAATTATATATTTGAATACAAATTGGTAACAGTGGAACACATTTTTACTTTTGTTTAATGTTTTTGTAGCTAAAAAGTGGGTAACGTTTTCAACTGATAATGAGAATGCAACTTGAAAAAAAGTTCCAATGGAACCTAAATTCTCTAAAAATGAAGACTATTTAATTCACACTGTTTTATTCAACATCTAATAATTAGTAATCTTGGTATGGAAAGCTACAAGAGACTGCTTGCCTAAATTACAAAATTCTTACTTGTGATAACCCAACCTTCTTTTTTTGGGCAGGGTCAAAAATGCAGAAAAACTGAACATATTCTGAGCTCCTCAATTATTCTCAGATGTTACAGTTTGTGGATAACTTACAGATGAGAACAGTGGGACAGGTTAATTATTTGGAAAGAAGCCACCACAATGGTTATAAGCAGTTCTTCAAAAAAGGAAATCTTGCTGAAAAATTACAAAATATCTCAGTTAAAGGAGCTATGTAAAGCCTTAAACAGTTTTCTAACTCAACCAGGGTGATAAAAAAATCTTTATGCACCTATAATCTCCTAAATTAATTAGTTTAAAAAATGGTCCCTCTGTTACTGGTAACAAAGGGACACTTTTCAGCCCCCTTAAAAACATGTTTCTACTAACATTTTTAAAAACTTGTTACACTACATCAAGACACCCCCCCAAAATGCTTGCTTTTGGAAGGTTTCCCTGTAAGTAGAATATTCATAAAAAATAAGAAACAAGGTTTTTTTTGGTAACGGAGAGACAGCCAAAATGAGAATTTGTAAATCTGTGAATACATTAACAAAACTATGTGGACTTTTTTTTTTTTTTAAGAAATTCATTTTACTGGGTTGCCTATACATATAATCATTGGAAAAAAATGCTATTTCTTCATACTTTATCTAAAATAGTTTCTTAGGTTAGTGAGACCTTTGTTATAGGAAAAGGGGAAAGTCCATCCTGTTCAAGTTCATCAACTGCAACTGATTCAAAACATCAGTAACTTATTTTTGATTGATATAGGCCTAATTCAATATTTTCTGCTCTGTGCACCATGGAATGTCAGCTTTCAGATCCTGATATTGGACAGCAATTTATGTTTGAAACCGTGCTACTGATGTTAACCTCTGCTTGGCCTGGCCCATTAGCATAGCATGACTCACGAGTCTAATGGTAAGCACATTATTCCAGCACTCTGCCATCTAAAGGTTTTAACCACAAGCTGCCAGGGATGGCATGTGTGTGTACATGCTATACCACAAAGTGTTTAATTTAGTAATTGTTTTTACATATAGGTAGCTCCACATGTACTTCATCCCAATGAGCCAATTATGAGAACTACCTGCCTCACACGTTTACCCTTTTCCTTGATTTTTTATTATATTTTCTGGTGTTTAAATATTGCTGTTAGTTATGTCAATAACACTGTAGTAATTATGATATCAACGATGAAATTAACAGTATCAATATTGAGAACATTAGTAAAAAGAAGTGCTTTTCCTGAAACTCAAGGAAAGGTGAAATCAGTTGTGGGTAAGCATTGGCAGAGCCATCTATGTGTAGAGACATTTCACAAAACAATACTACAGTAAACACACATTTTACCGGGGACATTGGGCTAGAATCATTACTGGAGACCCACCAACAGACATAGACTTTTGTTGGAAGGGAAACCCAAACCCCGACTATTCTGTGCAGTCAACAGATGACTATGAACACGATAGATGACTAGTATATGACATCACATGCCATCTACTGTCAGAGACTGGTAATCCTGAAAAATGTTCTGTATGTATTCCACTCCTACTTCCATTACAACCTTCCTATGTAGGCCTATATGATGGGAATATCCTCATGAACTGTGTGTTCTTGTTGTGTGCTAGCACTGGGTGTATGTTTTAGCACACCTTGTGATCACAGATACATAAGGAGCCCTAAGCTCTGTCCTGCTGTGTAAATATGGAGGATACTTGTATGGCAATTGCACCCATTAGGAGGGCTTGCAGTGCTGGGAAAAAAATTATTTACTTACCTAGATAGAATTGATTTTCCATTTTATTTTTTTGTTTTGTTTTTAAATTTAACAGAGCAATCCAATCCTGCAATTATCATTCTTGTTTCAATTATTCACATTGTCATATGCATGAATTTGTTGTTTCCCATTGCAAAAGATATAAGTGAAAACATTGATGACTGTACAGGAAGTGACCTTACCCTCTGAGACTGTTCCTATCCCTCCAGCCACAACTGGTAATTTAATCCAATGTTGTATGAACCAAAAACCAGTATTATTCTGAAATACGTCCATCACCCAGATCGTGATGATTTTGGTATTGTTGGATTCCTCTCACTGTCTAGTTTCCAAATTCTTGGCCCCGATATCTAGGGAGGGCAGGCATGAGAGGTACCAGGGAAATTATGGCTATAATGTAAATGATATACTCAGTCATTATATTGTCTAATGCAAAGGGCTTTACCCCTAGCCCCCACCAAGGAAAACAAAGAATCCTCCACATATTCACAGCAGGAGAAAGCGTCGGATGGACGGTAACGCCGCTCCCGCATATCGGTCATCTGCTCACACCTGCCGTGAATACATGAGGGATTCCTTGTTTTCCTGTGCAGGGGTGGGGGCAGCAGCCGCCCATGGGGGATCGCATTAACCAATATAGTGACTGATTCTGCTTATATCATTTGCATTTTACCCCAAAATTTCTCTGGTACCTCTCATGCCCTACTATCAGTGCCAAGAATGTGGGGTTGTGGGTGCTTCCATGCTATAAAACCTTCATGTTTGCAATGCAGATGGTGACAGGAGTCCAACGATACCGAACTCATCACAATCTGTTCGGCAGACATATACTAGAAATTACCCAAAACTCTTCCTAACCCCAGACTTTCTAGAGTTTGGTCTGCATGGGGAACGAGTTCCCTGCGCAAAGAATTATTTGGTCAAATTCTGTCGGTGCAAATGTAGTTCCCCATGCAGGCTTAGCTTTTTTATAAATCATCTTCCGCACTTAAAATTCATTTGACCTTTCCGCACACTTGTTTCATCATCTGTTCACAAATGCAGGCAAAATAATGCTTTCCTCGCATGAAAAAATGTAATATTCTCCGAACAAGAAAAATGCTTATTCATTTATTATGACAATCACGAATTCCCAGACAATATTTATATCATCAGATTAATTCTCATGTGATGAGAATGAATCTGAGGATCGTCTCCATGGTAATCACAGCCGACGATCTTAATGTGTTAAGTCCCGTTAGCAGGGGAGGGCATGAAGTATATCAGGGAAATTATAGGGTTAAACACGCTTAAATAAGAAGAGCAAACAGAACTGCATAAAACTAGCACAAAAAATGGTAAAAATTGGCTAATGAAACTTTACGGACATGCCCACCACCTTGAAAAGTCTACGCGCCGACGCGCCAAAGTTAAAAAAATTCTGAGAATCCAACCCTTTTTCAGCAAAATGTATGGGATTTCACACCTTCTAAACCCTAAAAAACATCCTGACCTATAACCTAACTTAGGTTAGGTTGTAGGTGCCGTGACTAGGCATGCCCTTTAGGCACTGCCCGAGGGGAGGGTATACCCTCCAACACCCCCTGGGATACATTCTCTTCACCTCCGTATGTACAGCAAGATAGCGCTACAGCCATATTGTAAACAATAAACCAAATACCTTTATAATCAAAAAGACCAAACTGTCAATTTTCCTTCACTTCTTTCATTCGGTCAATAAGTTTATTGTGGATCACTTCGTTTATTCACTATTTTGGGGATTTGGGGTTCTTGATGGCCTCAGAAATCAAACTGCAATAGTTAATGAGGTCTTTTTCTTTTTTGTTGCCACTGTAGTCTTAAGAACAACATAGAATCGACACGAACAAAACATTTCTCAACGGCTTTCTGTCACCTAATGCCCAGGAATCATCCTGTCAAACCTGGTGGCCAGAAACGCAGATATGCATGCACAGGTTCTTCAGACTGATTCCCGTTAATCAATGTCTAATAAATATTGAAACACTTAAATGAGGCATAACAACATTAACAAAGGCTTTTGAAAGTATAAATGTGGAATAGCAGACACAGATAATTAGCCAAATATTGTTTTGACAAACATGTATTAATACATGACCTACTTGATAGACCACAGGAATGCATTCAGTGGTCATAATTTTGTTTACATTCGCAATGTCAACATCGCAAAGAACTTGTCTTATATTACATCAAAGTAACCATTCCATACTTTTTTTTTTTTTTACTCAAGTCCTGATTGTTATCCACTGTAAATTTTCCAAATACTCTACAGTATGACCCAACCTTGGGGCTTCGCCCACAGATCCCCACCCAATTACCATATTTCCCTATCAGGGGCTCCACCCCTGGACCCTCACCCAATCCCCCCGGACTTACTTTCCGTGCTGCATTGGTTACCTTTTTTGTCATTTCTGATTTTATTCTTTCCTGGTGCAGATTATTGATGTATATCAAATTGCCAGTTTAGCCATTACAAGGAAATTTTATTTTGCAGAATATGGCTGTGGGAAGCAACATTTCCCTATTATTTTTCATTTAACTGCACGTTTTAATGTGGATATCTTTTAAGGGAAAGCGTTCTAAATGGTCTCATACTCAAAGGTGTTTGCGAACTCATCCCAATTTACTTGGAATTCAGGTGATCTCATTTAAAAACATTAAACTTTTTTGCAATCAAATTGTTTGCAGAAGTAAAAGGTCGTAAATGACGTAAACTACAATGCAGATACACAAATATTTACCCACAGAAGATTTGCTCCCGATGTAAACAACTCCGGTTTTGCCGGTCTTTAGCCGAAATAGTGAAGAAAAATAAAATTCTCTGTTTGGCAAGATGTGACATAAAACCCTTTGTGAACAGAGTATGCGATATAATATTATCACTATATAATAAGTACTGACTTGTCTTATTTTTCATAAACCAACACCAGAATAAAACCGGCATTTTTAGAAAAAAAAGAAAACTGGACATTTGTAATTTGTATCTCCTGATGGATAATCGTGTCGTTTACTAGAGAATTTTATCAGACTAAATATTTGTGTATTTTCTTTATTTCATTACTGGTATCCTTTTCCATTTACAAGAAAATACTAAAGCTAAACTACTTGGTTACCAAGGAATCATCATCGTTTGATGTATTAACTTTTAACTGCATTTTACTAATTACAGTGTTTCTTAAAATAATTTTCTAATTGTCACCCTTATTGTCTGAGATACGTTGTCACTTACCCATTAATCCCATCAATCTCGATCATAATTAAATGCCTATCAGACTAACTCTCTCTTCTCTCTCTCTCTCTCTCTCTCTCTCTCTCTCTCTCTCTCTCTCTTCTCTCTTCTCTTCTTCTCTCTCTCTCTCCTCTCTCAGTTCCGTACCAACCATCACAGAGAGGGAATGTGATTTTTTCCCTCGGAGCAGCAGCAGGCCCCAGAGGTCCAGGTCATGGCCACCAGCGTGTGGACAACCAACCGGCAATGACTTTCATAAATGGAAAGGGAGGAGGGGAAAAGTCCCTCTTACCCAGCAAGTGAGGCGGACTGTGGGCCCTGCTGGGGGGGGGCGACTGCTGGAGCGCAGGCTGGGAACGGGAACTACTCGTCTCGCCTGCGCTCTGGTGGCCGCCAGCCCAGAGTGAAGCTTGTGGGAGAAAGCCCTTGGAACCTCACAGTGGATGATGGGGCCCGCAGCCCGCACCCCCTTTTATGTGGGGCAGCGTCGGCAGGCGTGGCAGAGGTGGCATCCACCCGAGTAACTGCCAAGGTTGATCTCAGCGGAGTCAGGGTGGGGGCTTGGAACGTCCGTTCTTTACGCCAGATGATCGGTTGCCTCTGCTGCTGAGAGAATTGGGGAGGTTGAGAGTTGAGGTGGCTGCTCTCTCAGAGGTGAGGAGACCTGGCAGTGGCATGACCAGTGTAGGTGGCTACCCTATTACTGGTCGGGCCGCAGCGACGGTCATCACCTCCAGGGAGTAGCCATTGCCATCTCCAACAGACTCCAGCCCTCGGTAGTAGAGGTTACTCTGTTGATGAGTGTATAATGGTATTGAGAATGAAGCTCTCTTTTGACTTCATGTCTCTTATTGCTACTGATGTTTGTAAACTTGACGTGAAAGAGATGTTCTATGCCAAACTTGCATCTGTGGCAGACAGATGTCCCTGGCGAGATATTCGCATCGTTCTAGGTGACTTCAGTGCGGTATCTGGTTGTGATCGAGCTGGCTATGAGATGTCTGCTCAGGGGCTGATGCCGGTAGTGAGAAAAGCCTCCTTTTCTGGGACTTTGCTAGGTCCCAGAAATTGAGGATTTCTGGCTCCTGGTAGCAGCGCCCGGACCTCACATGTGGACATGGTACAGATGCGAGTAATGCAGCCAAGGAGATCGACCACATACTCGTTGGAGGATCCTTCAGAATTGCAGGGTGTACAGGAGTGCTGAGTTCTGTGGTACTGACCATAGATTGGTTGTGGCTACCCTCCGGGTCCACTTCAAAACCCCAGCGGTCAAATGATCACCCTAGGTGTTTCATTTGGACAGGCTGAGGGAGGGGAGTGTGGGTTTGCTGAGGCAATCTCTGATCGTTTCGCAGGCTTGGCAGTCTGACAGACCCTGTTCTCTGTGGGATACCTTTAAGCGTGAAACGCTTGATGCAGCTCAAGATACGATTGGTGTACGCCCGAGAGCAGTACAGAATTCCATCTCGCAGGAGACACTGGAAGCCACAGATGCATGTCGTGCGGCTCGTCTGACAGGGGATCGGGAATTGCACCGTCTCATGTGCGCAGAACTCGGTCCCTGTTAAGAAGGGACAAGGAACAGTTTATTAGGAGTCTTGCAGAGGAGGTAGAAGGCCATTTCTTAGTAAATGACCTTCGTCCTGCATACCAAGCCCTGAGAAAGCTGAACTCCAAGCCCTCTTCACAGGTGACAGCAGTTCGCTCAGTAAGTGGTCAGATCGTTTCAGATCCTGTTGGTGCGGACGTTGGGCTGAGTATTTTGAGCAGCTGTACCAGGTTGACCCACCAACAGTTAACTTGGATGCGGGTAGTGTCGAGATCCCGCTGCCGGATCCACCTATCAGTGAGGACCCTCCCTCCCTAACTGAAGTTAGGGGGGCGATTTCCAAGCTGAAGAGTGGTAAAGCAGCTGGTATCTGCGGCATACCAGCTGAACTGTTAAAGGCTGGTGGTGAACCTATGGCACGGGGGTTACATGCTGTCCTGGCTGCCATCTGGCAGTCCGGTTCCGTTCCTCCTGACCTGTTGAGGGGTGTGGTCATCCCTCTCTGGAAGGGGAAGGGGGACCGTTGGGACTGCAGCAATCACCGAGGCATCACACTGCTCAGTATACCAGGCAAGGTTCTCGCCCACATCCTTCTGAGACGTATCAGAGACCATCTACTGAGGCACCAGAGACTGGAGCAATCCGGATTCACTCCTGGTAAGTCCACAATAGACCGTATCCTCGCGCTTCGAGTCATTGTAGAGCGCCGTCGTGAGTTCGGGCGTGGGCTGCTTGCAGCCTACATCGACCTCAAGAAGGCGTTCGATACGGTGCATCGGGAAGTCACTTGGGAGATCCTGAGGCTGAGAGGAATTCCAACAAGGATTATTGGACTAATAGCAAGCCTGTATACTGGTACTGAAAGTGCTGTAAAGTGTGGTGGGGGCCTGTCGAGCTTCTTTCCTGTTAGTTCAGGAATGAGGCAAGGCTGTGTCCTTGCACCAACTCTTCAACACTTGCATGGACTGGATACTGGGCAGAGCTACTGTTCAAAGTCATTGTGGAAGCAATGCTGGCAATATCAAGGTTACAGACCTTGACTTTGCTGATGATGTTGCCATTCTATCTGAGTCTTTGGAAACCCTAGTGTGGCTCGATGCATTTAGCAATGAAGCGAAGCCCTGGGTCTAGAGGTCTCCTGACCAAGACCAAGGTCCAGGAATTTGGGGACTTGTTAGGAAAACCTGTTCAGTCGGTACGTGCTTGCGGTGAGGACATTGAAGTCACAGAGAGCTTTACATACCTTGGTAGTGTAGTTCATAACTCTGGGCTGTCAGACCATGAAGTCAGCAGACGGATTGGCCTGGCAGCAGGGGTCATGAACTCTCTCAAGAGTATTTGGAGATGTCGGTACCTGTGCAGAAGGACCAAGCTACGGTTTTCAAGGCCCTGAATAATGCCAGTTTTTGCTATACGTAGCGAAACCTGGACATTGTCCTGTGCTTGGAGGCTCGTCTTGAAGCCTTTTGTAATAGTCCTTGCGCCAGATCATGGGGTACTGTTGGCAGGGACCATGTGTCCAACCAAGCGGTTGCACACATGAGACTGGCACAGGACCCTGTTATCTGCACAATCCGTGATCGCCAACTCAGGCTATACGCCACCTGCTCGCTTTCCTCAGCAGGTCGTCTCTATTCGAGACAATCCCTTAGGGAAGTCGTGGCTTGGGCAGATCGACCAAACCTGCCGTGAAGAACTGAGATGGGCCGAGTCCCTGCCTGGCGTCTAGCCATGAGGGATCCCCGTAGGTGGAAGCGAAGGGTGGATGCGGCTATGCGCCCCCGTCGGCGTCAGCCCCCATATGATGATGATATATATATATATATTATATATAAT